GTCCAAACAGTCCCAAAAAAAATATATTAAAAAATATGTAAATCCAAACCCCATTTCCCACACAGAACTAAAGACAGCAAAAAAATAACTAAACCAAGAAAAAAAAAACTATCTATATTTATGGAAATTATATTTTGTTTCCATAAAAAGTGGACAACTAAATTCAAAAATTTTACATGTAAACATATTTTTTAAATTTTTTTTAAAAACAATAATTTATATTTAATCAATTCTAATAAAACAAATCATCATATATTTTTAAAAAAAATGGATATATGAAAAATAAAAAGAAAAATAAATATGTTAGATTAGGAAATAAATGACTAATCAAATTCTACAATAGCATAAAATGTGGAGTCATAATAATCAGAACTAATTATATCATAAAAATATTAATAATTATAAAATCTTAAAAAAAATCATTAACAATTTTTAAATAAACTTTCTTCAACAAATCAATAATAATTTTTTTTTCTAAAATCAACGTAATAAAAATAATAAAAATTTTATATCACATAAAACCTTTTATTTTCACATAAAAATCTTCATAAACAATCTCGCAAATATAGCAAAAAAAAAAAAATCTTTTTGAAATATATTGATTGAAATGAGGTATTTATGTATTTCCTTAAAAAGGAACAAATTAACAAAAATAAATTTAGACAAAAATTGAGTCTTAACATTTAAATAGATTTCCATAATAAACGTCTGTATTTAAATTCGAATAATAATAGTTATAGAAAAAAATTAATATTAGATCTTATTTTTAACAGATTTGCATATGTAACTATTTCAACTAATTTAGAATAATAGATATTAAAACTTTTAAAATTGACTTTAAATGAAAAGTATCTAAATATATGAAAATTATAATTTTGTTTATTTCATATATAATTTCTTATTATATATGACTATCATATATCAATGATTTTCTGAATTTTACAATTAACATATTATCAAATTTTCATGATTTCTTAAAAATATCTAAACAAGAAAATTGATCAAAATTCTAAAATAAAAATAAATTTAGATATTAAATTTATCTACTACGTAAACCAAATTTAATATAGCAAAAAATACTAAATAAAAAATAACAATAAATATCTGTATTTATGAAAATTATATTTTTTGCCATAAAAAGTGGACAATTAAATTCAAAAATTTGCATATGTAAACATATTTACTTTTTTGAAATGGTTTTTAAAATCGTATTTTATATTTTACAAAATCTAAAAAACAAATGATCATATCCAAACCTGTTGCCAAACATAACTAAAGACAGCAAAAAAATAACTAAACCAAAAAAAAAATATCTATATTTATGGAAACTATATTTTGTTTCCATAAAAAGTGGACAATTAAATTCAAAAATTTTACATGTAAACATATTTTTTTAAAAATTTTTAAAAACAATAATTTATATTTAGTCAATTCTAATAAAACAAATCATCATATATTTTTAAAAAAAATTGATATATGAAAAATAAAAAGAAAAATAAATATGTTAGATTAGGAAATAAATGACTAATCAAATTCTACAATAGCATAAAATGTGGAGTCATAATAATCAGAACTGATTATATCATAAAAATATTAATAATTATAAAATCTTAAGAAAATCATTAACAATTTTAAAATAAACTTTCTTCAACAAATCAATAATAATTTTTTTTTCTTTTTCTAAAATCAACGTAATAAAAAATTTATATCACATAAAACCTTTTATTTTCACATAAAAATCTTCATAAACAATCTCGCAAATATAGCCAAAAAAAATAAATCTTTTTGAAATTTATTGATTGAAATGAGGTATTTATGTATTTCCTTAAAAAAAGAACAAATTAACAAAAATAAATTTAGACAAAAATTGAGTCTTAACATTTAAATAGATTTCAATGATAAACGTCTGTATTTAAATTCGAATAATAATAGTTATAGAAAAAAATTATTATTAGATCTTATTTTTAACAGATTTGCAT